AAGACATAGAAAGAATTCTTCAGCCTGTTGCCGACGGATGGAGGCTGGAAAACGGAGGATGGACGAGGCAATGCGCGGAGGACGGAAAATGGAAGATGAAGAAGGAAATATAGAAAAAGAAAAAAAATATAGGATAGATAATTGGATTATAAATAATAAATAAATTAAAAAAATATTAATATTTATATTGTTTTCTTAAATTATATGTTTATATAATATTTAAATTATGAATTAAAATTATTAGATATTATTTGATATTTATTAAATTATATAAATATAATATAATTTATCATATTCAAAATATTATATATTAATATGATATTGATTTTTGGTCCTAAAAATTATGTCTATATCGTGAAGGAAAAAATGATTATTTTTAATATTAATATTTTGAATTATTTTGATTATATATGTATTTTTTTATTTATATTGAAAGATAAAAAATAATTGAATAAATTATTTTTTAAGAATAATAAAAAAAATATATAAATTTATTTAATAATTTAATATTAGATATATATATATAATAAATTATTATTAAAATAACAAATAAATATATATATAAAATATAATATATATATATAAATATAAATATATATTTATATATTAATATATTAATACATATATATATATAAATATATAAATATATAAATATATAAATATATAAATATATAAATATATAAATATATAAATATATAAATATATAAAAATATAAATATATCCATATATAAATATATAAATATATAAATATATAAATATATAAATATATAAATATATAAAAATATAAAGATATAAAGATATAAAGATATAAATATATAAATTTATAAATATATATATATCAATATATCAATATATCAATATATTAATATATCAATATATCAATATATCAATATATCAATATATCAATATATCAATATATCAATATATCAAGATATTAATATATTAATATATCAATATAAATATATTTATATTGATATAATTAAATATATTTAAATATATATAGATATATATAATTATAAAGTATTATATATATAGATATAGATAAATATATTTAAATTTAAATATATATATATTATATAATGTATATTGATGCATTAATTGTTTGAAATATAATATGATATATTGATGAATATATTGTATAAATTAGATATATCAATAATTAAAAATAATTTATATATAGAATTATTTTGAATTTGATTGGGATTAATTGATCATAATTCGAATAAATTATTTTGAAATAATTAAAATTATTTCAATAATTTAATATAAATCGATTGATAATATTTAAAAAATTAATATAAAATAATTATAATAATTAATAATTTCTTATTATATATTAATAAATATAAATAATTAATAATATAAATTTTGAAATTATTAGTAAAATATTTTATAATAATTATTTTTTTATATATTTAAAATATTATCAATAATTTAAATATTATATAAAGTAGATCTTATTTAATTTATTAATGCATAAATAATTATTAATATTTATATATTAAATTAATTTATATAAAATTAATATATATTTATTAATTGATAATATTTTTCTTATCTCAATATATATTTTGTTTATCCTTAAGAAAGCATAAAAATTATATGATCATAATTATTGAATTTAATATTTAAAAGATCAATCAATCAAATATATTTATTTAATCCGTAATGATCCATATTCCATAATTAAATATAATATTTAATAATAAATTCAAAAATTAAAATAATATCTTATCCATATGATAATTATAATAAAGATAATGATAAAAAATA